TCAATAGGTTGTCAACTCACTATTATACGATCATAGTTATCAGTCTCACACTCAAAAATGTTTCACACCGAAATAATAACACAATTACCTCCTAATTACCTCCCTTGTTTTTCTATTCCCTACCATGGAATATATATCTTCCACCGTTTGAATTTGAAGTTGAAAATGATATTTTTGCTAATTTCTCAACTGGCAATAGTGAATTATAGGATTAATAGGATTATTCTTTATCAAGGTAGGACTGTTTATACATAGCATCGATTTTAAGGCTTTATTTTAATACATTTTAAAAACTAAACTTGATAAGCCATGGTTTACAGACGACTGCAAAAGTAAATACCGTGAATACAAATCTGCTTTATTTGTATATAATCGCAATAAGACTACTGTAAATAGGTTGAATTTAATACAATCTAAAAACAATTATTAAAAAAAGGAATTAAAACTCAAATACGATTATAAAAATAAGCATGGTAATTTGTTTGATTTTTTACGTGAGTCCAATCCAAAAATATTTTATAAACTATTCAATAAACGCAAAACAAAAATTGACTCCAATTTAACTATAGATGAATTCTATACTCATTTTAATAATTTGTCTTCAAACCTGCCGACTGTTAAAGCTGCAATTTCATATTTTTAAGTTATATTTTTAAAATTTATTAAAATAAAGCCTTAAAATAGATGGTATCCATAAACCGTCCTACCTTGTTAAAGAATAATCCTATTAATCCTATAAGTCACTATTACCAGCTGAAAAATTGGCAAAAATATCATTTTCAACTTCAAATTCAAACGTTTGAAGGTAGCTAATGCATGGAGGCAATATGAAAACAAGGGAGGTAATTGTGTTATTATTTCCTGTGTCAGTGATTTTTAAGGGTGGGAAATAATGCCCATGGTCGTATAAAAGTGAGTTGATAACCTATTGAGCAAAAGACATAGAAATAATTATGTTCTGACTTTCTTAGAAAATATGAAATTATCGCTTTAATGAAGAAATTATTGAATTTCTTACTTCATATGACAACAAACCTGTTAACAATACCACCGATGATATTTTTAATAAAGTGATAACTGAAGCGATTAGATTAGAGACAAAAACATATTATGGAACACAATTACTATTTTAATTAAAGCGACGTTTCGTTGAGGGTTCTCTCAACGTTTTCAACGAAACGTCGCTTTAATTAAAATAGTAATTGTGTTCCATAATATGTTTTTGTATTACGTATGTCAATTGCTAAATGCCGCTCAAAGAAGATGAGATTAGAGAGTGTATTAAACGACTACAACTAAATAAGGCTTCTGCAAATGACAATATTTAAAATAAAATTTTAAAATATGACCAGAATGAACTCAAGCCATCTCTCCTTAGTATTTTCAATAATGTCTTCAACTCTGGCTACTTTCCGTCATCCTGGGCAAGTGGTAATATCGTACTAGTTTTTACAAAAGGTGATACTTCAGACCTAGATAATTATAGCGGAATCACGATTGTTTCTTGTCTCGGTAAATTATTCACTTCTGTTATCAATAATCGTCTGTTAAAGTTTGATGCTAATGAGATGAAAATTACTACCTATCAATTTGGGTTCCGTAAAAACCAGTCCACTGTAGACGCTATTTTTATTTTACAATCAATTATTAATTATTTTCTGAAGATTACTGTAAAGCTTTTGATTATTTAAACAGGTGTAATTTATGGTATAAATTAATACAGGAGGGAATTGGGGGTAAAACTTTGAAAATAATAAGGTCTCTGTATGACAAGGTTAAATGTTGTGTTAAATAAGGCGGAGAACTATCTGAATATTTTAAAAGTAAGAATGGTCTAATTCAAGGGGAAGTTTTATCGCCGTTGTTATTTTCTTTTTATATTAATGATTGCGAATCTCATCTTCTAGCCGATAATTGTGAGTCGAATTGATATCCAGACATTCAATTGATTTTTACTTATGTACGCAGACGATAAATACTAAAAAGACTAAGATTATGATTTTTCGAAATGGGGGTAAACTTAAAAATTATGAGAATTGGACTCTTGGTGGTTGTAATATTGAAGTTGTAAATAGTTTTAATTATCTTGGCCTACTACTAAATTTTAATGGTAAATATCTAATTACACAAAACAACGATGTAAAAGTATTGCTATGCATTTGCTAAGTATTGTTATTATTTAATAATTAGTTTCTGTAATTTATGGGGCAAATAAATGACTATTTCAATTCAAACAAATGCCTTATCTGAAGTGCAAAACATAGCCATTCCAGAGAAGGGTTTAAGAAATGTTACAGGCCTGCTATACTCCTTTAAATACAACACTTTCTGAGATAAAAATCACGGAAAAAGACACGGGCAGTAGATAATCCGAGAATTTAATTAGACTTCGATATTTGTAATAAATAGTCAGCGATAAAGGCAACATCGTCTTGTGTATGCAATGAATTCTCCTCCGACCTCGCACCCGTTGTGTCACGTGACACAAACATGACCTCTTTTGGTCGATTTTTTATAGCCGGCTATTCCCTGACAATTGCAATGTTTTGAGAAGGATTTGAAGCAAAATTATGATAAATTAATTAGTTTGAATATGTTTTTAGTCCAAATATATCATCAAATCACCCAGTTTGTACCCGGGAATGTATCTTTAACGTTACATAATGCAATGGCCACTTGTGCCGCTTCAAAAATTTAAAACGCATCACCACAAAGAGAAACTATTTAGCGACTAATATAATGGCCGGATTTTGTTGTTTGTGATTATAACATTTATTTCAGAACAAATTATGACGATATTTCTGTATCCGTTTGAGGCAACATTAAATTGCGATACACATTCTGATGGTCGGCTGCATCTTGGAAGATATTTGCTGTAAAAGTCAATTTTAGTTTTAGTAACACGCCTCGACCAATAATTCAAAATACGGGCTTCCCCAACGCATCTTCACTGACCTCATTTCGTGTTACTTCCGTTCCGACGAAGTTGATAATCGCCAAGTGATAGCGCTCCAGGTTTGATTTGTTATTAATAACGTTGTGAAATGGCCAATTTAATAACATTGTTGGCAATAAACACGGTCGGAAGTGTTAGAACTAATAGCAGACGAAATTTCTTCAACGAGTGAAAACAATATGGCGGGTGATACACCGAGAGAAATGGGGTTTAACATCCACTCCAAACAAACTAGGTCATTTCGGGACTAACATATGGTTTAATTTTATTTCAGTAATTCGCTTGCGCGTAGGGGTCTTTAGCAGTGGGAGGAAACCGGAGGACCCGGAGAAACCACGCCAGTTGACTCAATGACAGGCCTTATGATCAGCGCGCACATGCTAACCATTCGGCCATCCCAAACCCTTGCTGATATTAGTATATGGTCAAGCAGTAGTAAGACATTTTATTGTAATCCTTTCAGGTGCCCGTGCGTTACAGTTGTCTGTGGGATAACTAATATTTCAATGTTTGTAGCCACCGGTTGTTAATGTAGTGGGGATCACGGTGACTCAGTAAGTGAAACTTTGATAAAAGTAGTTCACGGCTCAATGATTTGTCCTTATAAAAGTCTTATCATATAATGCTAAAATAAGCCCGAATTATTGTCTATGTGTTGTAAAATTTGTTGAGCTTGGCGGACCACTCTACTTTTGACTCACCTAACAGAAGGTCTCGTTATTGACCGAGAAGGTTTCCTCGGGGATTTTTCGCCGTGATTTTCGTGATAGACGGCCTGACAATAAACATTCTCCAGTGTCCCGGATTCCACGGTGGCGTGCACGTAAAAGAACCCTTGAAAGATGTAAAATAGGTTGGCAATATGCCCCTCATAGCACACACTGCATGGCGTGTGGCTGTCTTTAATATACCGGTTGATACAGATAAGTTACTAAATGCCACTAGAGGATTATTCTATCAAACTATATATCAAACATACTGTAAAATAGATGTATATATGTCATAGTTAACCAGTGGAAATATTCACTATAAAGTTATACATTTTGGCAGCCATCTTTGTTGTTTTGTTCATTTACACTGGATAGAATAATAACTATATAAATGCTAATGGTATGACGTATGTTGGCGACGTTTCGAAGAGTAATCTATCAACGTTTTCAAGCAAGTACAGTCACAACTGTGTAGGGCAATAACACCAAACGAAGCTCTGCCGAGATTTTTTTAATTTATCTATGAGTATTGATATTTTTTGATATCAAAAAAGACGAGTAGGAGATTTTATTTATCACCCAATCCCTTCTTACATGCACAAATAAATAAATATAATTCTTTCACTTTAGTGAACCTGATTACATTACATTGACAGTAATTCAACCATTGCAAAGCCCTTTATATTGACCAGGTGTTTCCATCAAGGCCAATTAAATAGAAATAGTCCCTTTTTAATAAGAAAGAAGTTACTTTTAATAAAAAGGAGATATCGCAGTAGATTATGAAATTTATCACGCAAGTGATATCTACTGTAGAAAGTATTATTGGGTGAAAAAGAATGATAATATTACATTAAAGTAACAATTATAACTAGACCTGCATGCAGGAATGACGGGTTTCACTGGTGCCACGTTACCCTTTAACATGTCACTTCCGGTGCCACGTTACCCTTGAACATATGTCACTTCCGGTACCAATGAAACCATTAAACAGGTTTTTTGGTTTTGACCCCTCAGACTTTGTACCGTTGATTACAGATTAAAAGTGTACAAATGTGTTGTTATTGATGTGTTCCCATTTGAATATTGTTCACAATAAGAAGCAAAATAAATAAGATGTTTACAGGATCATTTTTTTATACGAAAAACTAAGTGATGCGTTTTCTATGACGCTCAGTTTATTTCGATCAATTGGGGCACAATTTTGATCCAAGCTGTTCCTACTCTATTTGCCAACAGTGACCCGACAAAAAGCTTGTCCCTTTTTGTTCCGGTTCTGAGTTCTCGATGGTACTAATAGTTGTAAATGATTTGAAAAGACAAACACTTTATAAATGTTAAATAGATTTATTGAATTATAAGTGAAAAGTAGGATATGTACATAGTAATAACCATGATTTAGCAATTGTTTAATCATTATAACAGTACAAATGGAAATCCAATTATCCAAGTATAGTGAGAATAAGAACAGCATTAATAAATATTCAAAATGCGTATTTGCAAATTCGGCAAATATTTTACAATGAAAACAAAAATACAAAGAAATATGTAATGAACATATAAAGCAAAATTTAAATAACGAACAGAAAGGCATACATTTATATAAATTTTGAAATCTAATTTGCGTATAATGTAAATTAATTAAACTGCCAATAAATTAAACTGGAAAAATAATCGTAACAGTTAAAAACCCAACAGAGAAAGTTGTAATACTTTCTGCGGTAAATATGTATTTAGTACATAAATACAACAATGAATGAATATTAAAATGGAATATACATATATACTACATATTTTGGTACATGGAAGAACAGTCAAATTACTGAGTGTGTTGCATTAAAGATTTGATCGTGACCTTCCATATTTCAGAGGTGCGCTTAAACATTCAGTGGTCCATTATGTCATTATGATGACTCAATGAATGTTTCAGCGACCCGGTCCGTTTGGGAAAATAAAGAATAAATATTCTTTAATTAATTGAACCGGTACCTAGCTACAATAAAATGGGTCCTATACGAAAATCGAAACAATAGGACATACACAAAGCAACAATATATAATGAAATGAAAATTTGACTAATATTACATATATACATTTAACAGCTCGATATCATCCTAGAGTTCTGAAAAGATAACAATTATAAACGTTTAAAATATATGCATTTTGAAGGCTACAAATACAGTTTTTGCCAAATTGACGTTACTTCCGGTGATAATGAAAATCTGAAATTACTTGTATGAAATCATAATTGGTAAAAGGTATCAAACAGTGAAAATTTTATGAAAATCGAATAATAATTGACAGTTGTATGGTCCAAAAACCTTGAAAAGTGACCTGTTCAAAATCGTCTATTTCTCCGCAACTGACCAAGTTAGAAAGGAATTTGTGATATCTATATGATCGTATGGGTTCATTCTATTAGTTGATTGGAATCAAATATCAAAATTTTAAACGAATAACAAATACAACTCATTTGAATAAATTATTTGTTTCGAAGGCTATAAATACGGTTTTTGCCCAAATTACGTAATTTCCGGTGATATTGGTAATGTTGAATTGGTTTGACCTAGTTAAAATTGACATTACGCACCAAATGGTGTAACTTTTATGAAAATCTAGTAATGATTGACTCTTAACAGTGCGCATCTTTTGGATAATATCAGATTTGTAAAAAATAATATTTGCTTTCAAAAAGTGGTACCGGACTGTCAATATTGTAATTTTTGCTAAATTTACGCGTCTTCCGGTTCCGACAGGAAACTTTACCGGTAACAAAAAAAATGACATTTTGAACCACGGAACATATGAACTAGGTTTTATACAAATCGAACAATAAATAATTAATGTAGGACTGAAAAACTGAATTAGCCAATGGCGGCCAAGGAAAATTACGGAAACAAAAAATGTTGACATTTTTGTTCAAATCAGATGACTCTTTAACCTTGGTTAAAATGTCATATAAAAATATTAATAAATAAAAAAGTTTTTTGTAAAAATTTAAATTTTCAAAATTTGGCGCCTAATATCTTCCAAGATTTGTCGAAAATCAAAAATCAAAAGTAACATAGCTATGTCCCCTGTTTCTGGCTATGTCAAAATGCATCATATGCTAAAATGCAATGATTATTGTTAATATTACGGCAATATTTCAAAAAACGACATTTTCGGTGATTTCGGACATTTCGCAGAATGCCGGAGAATGCCGGGAATAGCTTTAATCTCTAAGTCACACCCACTTTCCCAGTAAAACAGAAGACATTGTATCGATCCGACAAGAAGTTGCTGAGATATAAGCAAATTGGAAAAAAAAAATAATAATAATAATAAAAATAATAATAAGAATAATTTTAACAAAAACAATAGTGTTTCACACAAGCTACGCAGTGTGAAACCCTAATAATGATAATATTAAGATAATGTAACAATTATAAAGAATCATAATGTGAAGATAACGTAAGAATTGTAAATAATTATAATATTAAGATAAGGTAACAATTTATAAAGAATGATAATATTAAGATAATGTAACAATTATAAAGAATGATAATATTAAGATAAGGTAACAATTATAAAAAATGATAATACATGCATTTAGATAAGGTAACAATTATACAGAATCATAATATTAAGATATGGTAACAATTATAAAGAATACTAATAGTAAGATAAGGTAACAATTAGAAATGGTAACAATTTATAAAAAAAAAATGGTAGTTTTAAGGCACTATAACAATTCCAAATAATATTATGATAAGGTAACATTTATAACGAATTATAATGTTACGATAAGGTAACAATTATAAAGAATTATATGTAATATTAAGACCTGATACCAGTTTTAAAGAATGATAGTATTAAGGTAAGGTAACATTTAAAACGAATTATAATGGTAAGATAAGGTAACAATTATAAAGAATGAAAAGGTAACATTTATAGCGAATTATAATGGTAACACAAGGTAACAATTTATAAAGAATGATATTATTAAGATAAGACACGGGTATAATATAACATAATTCGCATTTAGACCTGTGTTATTGTGCATTGTACGTAATGTCTATAGTTTATAAACCAGGGGCCTGTTTCACGAAATTTTAACTAAGATAAAATTTAAATTTTAGTAATTTGATTGGATAATATTAGATTGATTTTAGTGCTTAGCCAATCAAAATTGAAGTATCTACTAAAATTTGGATTTTATCTTTAGTTAAGATTTCGAAAAACAGGGCCCAGTCTATTTAGATAATATTGTTTATAGAGGTTATAGCCCTATGTAGTAAAGCATATTGTTTCTAAAGGTTATACAGCCGTCTATTATCATATTGTTTCTATAGACTCATATTTATAATCCACCCTCTCCAATTGTCAATTAAAATACAACTATGCGAACTCCCCGTTGACGTAAATACAAACATACACCTTAGGTTAGCTATGTGAACTGTTCAGGTGATAAGTGGTATCAGATGTTCTAGATTTAATATTAATTATAACATAGTAAATAACATGATGATTATCTGACAAGTATAGTGTATACATAGCGAAATATGTTATAATCAATATGTTTTTATATGATAACTAACTTAGTTATGACTGTTTTGGTATAGTTTTGATTTTTCAAGATAGAGTTTTACTAGAAGATAAGGGTTAGTTAGTCTAGAAGAGTACGATATTTACCAAGATGTTCCCATTACAACGCAGTAATCATTAATGCACCAAATACAAAATATATAGCACCACAAATAGTACGTTATTTAAACCGTTTAGTTTCCTTTATATAGAGAATCAACAAACATACTTTCTTTATACAAGATATACAATTTATTTTATGATTCAATTTTGGTCTCAAATGTTTTATAAATAATTAATTATTTATTAGATATTTATTCACAGGACAAGTCCATAATTAACCCGGGCGGTTGTGATTTTCAACGGATTGAAACAAGATCGCCATTTAATAATTTATTTTAAAATTGGGTGATTATTTCTTTATTATCGTAACAAGGGTAGCACTGAAAATCGAGACTTCGCTATTCTTCAAGCGTGGTTTCCCCTTGTCAGTGATGCAGGACGGAGGGCCTGACAAGGAAAGCTGTCTAGTCGTTCGGATGGGACGAAAAACCGAGGTACCGTGTACATATTGGCGTGCACGTAAAAGATCCCTCGGCAGTTGGAATTCGATATAAGAGTAGGTCGTAGCGCCGCTGACCAGGCAAAATTACCTCATAGCACATTGTATGGCGTATGCCCGTCTTCATTAGCCCTGTTTAGGAGCAGAACAGTAGGACGTTAAACCCAATTTCATTTCATTTCATTTCATTTCACGAGGAAACACAAGAACCCGAGAAAACCTAACAAATTGTAACCTAGCGTGTTTTAATACATTCGGTTTGACAGGTGCTCTAGATAGCATAATTCACTCGCGTTTAGTTGTTGTTAACTGTGGGAGGAAACAAAAGATCCCGAGAAAACCCACCTTACTTCTTGTCACATACAAGTGTTGGATTGAAACCACGCCATTTGACTAGATGACAGACATTATTACCCAACGTACACTTGTCAGACCATTCTTCCAGAAAGTGTAGATACGTATTTTCAATTTTTTGGCCCCCTTCAGCCCGGGTTGGCGTCAGTCTGGTTAAAATATAGATCTATATTTCGTTTTTTTTATATACTTTCGATGGCCTACACTACAAGAAGATCTGACCAGTTATAGTGGGAGTTCAATTCAGGGGTCAAACGAGCGGTTTTTGACCCCATGGCTTCAGACATTGATTAATCGATCAGTGTTGACGTTTCTAGTGGTTTACTCACAGTTCCGTACATTAAAAGGTCAATAACTCCCGGTAACAGACCGTTTCATTGACTAATCCCTCTCATCATTCAGAAAACGTCTAGATATCCTAGTGTAGTAAAGACATGTAAAACGAAATTTTGAACTATAAAAACGAAACGAAATAGGATCTGTGTTTTAATCAGATTGGGTTGGCGCTTAATTAATATTAAAGTTGGTGCTGACGTAATATTAACACCATTTCATTTAATTAATATAAAAATTAACAATACCACCGACCTGACACGGGATATAGTTCTGATGTAATTCTTAAAATTGGCACTTTGATTATGTTTACTATCATAGCAAATATTAGCCTAAATGGTAAATGACTTGGTAGAGCCCATCTCGGGGGGTTGGATGGCTGAATGGTTAGAGTGCGCGCGCTGTATCATAAAGTCTGTCATTGAGTCGACTAGCGTGGTTTCGAATCCCCGGTTGTACGTGACAAGGAGTAGGGTCGCCTGTCCAACCTCGTGGGTTTTCTCCGGGTCCTATGGTTTCCTCCCACTGCTAAAGACCCCTACGTGCAAGCGAATTATGGAAATAAAATTGAACCATATGTTAGTCCCGAAATGACCTAGTTTGTGTCGAGTGGACGTTAAACCCCATTTCTCTCTCTCTCTCTCAGAGCCCATCTCAAACCTACAGTGATGTCATTTACTACAAGTTGTGAATCTTTCTCATGTGAATTTTAAAAACATCACCTTGATTTTGCGTTTAAATAAATAATGTCTAAAATCATATTAGAAAAAATATTAGTCTAATTCAAAGGAAATAAATACCTTGGTAAAATGATGAACACATCTTAAACGCCCATGGATGTTATTTACTATAAGTTGTAAAATAAGACTTTATTGATTCTATCAATGGAAGCAAATATATACGAACATGGCTGCAATGACATTATGATCACCAGCTGAACTGGTACCATCTTTAAACAGGTATTGTCTTCACAAATTCTACAGTGTCATAATAACCAAGGGACTGTGCACGTTTAATACAGGATGACTTGTCATATTCATTTAATTTTGCTCCACGAGACAGCAAGAGTTTAATCTTAACAATCCGCCGTGTTTCTGAACTGCAGCAGCTGTAGAATACTGATATGTTATTGTACCTACCAGCCATATAATTCACATTACAATTACTGTCTATTAAATGCTCTACCACTTTTACCGTACTAAATGCACATGCACGGTGCAGTGGTGTGGTGTTCTGGTCATCAATAAAGTCTAACTTAGCTCCATTACTCACCAAGACATTCATCTTTTCAACCGCTTGTGGTGCATCTTTATAACAGCAATAGAATAATGGCGTCCTATTATACATACCACTTACACAGTTCACATTACAGTTATTATCTATCAAATACTGAACAACATCTACTGTACTTAGACAGCAAGCTGCATGTAACAGGGATGTGTTATCTATATCTGTAACATCTAACTTAGCTCCATTACTCACCAAGACTTTCATCTTTTCAACCGCTTGTGGTACATCTTTATAACAGCAATCGAATAATGGCGTCCTATTATACATACCACCTACACAGTTCACATTACAGTTATTATCTATCAAATACTGAACAACATCTACTGTACTTAGCCAGCAAGCTATATGCAACAGTGATGTGTTATCTATATCTGTAATATCTAAATTAGCTCCATTACTCACCAAGACATTCATCATTTCAACCGCTTGTGGTGAATCTCTTGCACAACAATAGAATACTGGTGTTCTATTATACTTACCATCTACACAGTTCACATTACAGTTACAATCAATCAAATACTGAACAACATCTACTGTACTTAGCGAGCAAGCTATATGCAACAGTGATGAGTTATCTATATCTGTAATATCTAAATTAGCTCCATTACTCACCAAGACATTCATCATTTCAACCGCTTGTGGTGAATCTCTTGCACAACAATAGAATACTGGTGTTCTATTACACTTACCATCTACACAGTTCACATTACAGTTACAATCAATCAAATACTGAACAACATCTACTGTACTTAGCGAGCAAGCTATATGCAACAGTGATGAGTTATCTATATCTGTAATATCTAAATTAGCTCCATTACTCACCAAGACTTGCATCTTTTCAACCGCTTGTGGTGCATCTCTTTCACAACAATAGAATACTGGTGTTTTATTATACTTACCACCTACACAGTTCACATTACAGTTATTATCTATCAAATACTGAACAACATCTACTGTACTTAGCGAGCAAGCTATATGCAACAGTGATGTGTTATCTATATCTGTAATATCTAAATTAGCTCCATTACTCACCAAGACTTTCATCTTTTCAACCGCTTGTGGTGCATCTATTTCACAACAATAGAATAATGGCGTCCTATTATACATACCACCTACACAGTTCACATTACAGTTATTATCTATCAAATACTGAACAACATCTACTGTACTTTGACAGCAAGCTGCATGTAACAGTGATTCGTTATCTATATCTGTAACATCTAACTTAGCTCCATTACTCACCAAGACTTTCATCTTTTCAACCGCTTGTGGCGCATTGCTATAACAACAGTTGAACAGTGGCGTTCCATTATCTTTATCTACACAGTTTACATTACAGTTATTATCAATCAAATACTGAACAGCCATTAAAGTGCTATATTGACAGGCATAATGCAATAATGTTTTTTTGTTTGTATCTAGAACATCTAACCCTCCACCTTGTAATAAACGTTTTCTAGTATCTGGTATTCTGGTTTGATCAAATTCGTTCATTGTATTATATATAGTTTTATCAAATATAAGTTTAGGTAAATCAATTGGGGCTAACAGGAAGATATTAACAAGCGTTATGCAGGAAGTATAACCTCTAAAAACAAGTAGCTTTACTTTATGTACAGCGTCAAATTCAGAAAAACAAGCTCTTTCTAAGGGCGTTTTACCATCGTTATCTACTATATCTATACTATCTTTATACTGGTTTAATACTGACATAAATTTATATATATCATCAACATACGCTGAATGGTGGAGTAGAAAGTGCTTGCTGGAATCTTCAATCTGGTTTTTTGTTTCACCCGTGGTTGCTTCGACGCCATCTACAAAAAATGATAATAAATATCAACAAGGGCGTAAACGAGTATTGGGAGAGAAACGTTTGATTAATACCTGCCAATATTTTGTTTTCGTTGGCAGTCTGAGTTGGCACTCGACACAAACTAGGTCTTGCGCTTGCGCTTAGGGGTCTTTAACAGTGGGAGGAAACCGGAGGACCCGGAGAAAACCCACGAGGTTGTACACGCGATCCTACTCCTTGTCAAGTACAACCGGGGATTCGTAACCACGCCAGTTGACTCAATGACAGGCCTTATGATACAGAGCGCACGTGCTAACCATTCGCCCCCACCCCCAACAGGATCTTTAGCTATGCATTATCAATATAATGGTATTGGAGGGTGGCAGATGGTTGATAGCTGGGTCTTAAACGTTAGCTTAATGACATTCAGTTTCTAAAACGTGCCAGCCAAATTAATATAATAAATGAAATGGGGTTTAACGTCCTACTGTTCTGCTCTGACTGAGCTAGTGAAGACGGACATGCGCTATACAGTGTGCTCTGGTGGCAATTGAATGTTAACTAAATGGCATTACATTTGAATATCAAGGTTTCTAAAATGGGTCAGCCAAATTAATGTGGCGGAAACATGTGTTTCATCTTTGCCGCTGCTGGGAAGGGCGATAAGACGGGGTGTGAAGGTTTACTCGGATCTCACATCGTTAACTTAACAGTGTTGGGTTTGAAAATTATTGTTTCAAATATGGGCAAGTCCAGTATAGGATCTAGACGGGACGTCGAAAGTGGGGCGAATGCCCCCCTCCCTACCCAACACATTTGGGGGACCCTACACATTCAGGGTTGAGTACAAGATTCAGCAGAATTAATACGATTGACTGGGTTCGTAACATGATCGATTATTATAATATATTATTTTATCGGTGACCATTAAAAAGGGGATGGTTGGGATCCATAATTTGAATGAATTTTGAAACTTATGTTATTTCATTTTTGTTTATTCAGTTTTCGTTAGGAGCTCAGAACATACCTCAGAATGCACAAATCTGTATTTCAAAAGTTTGTGGGGAAGACCAATAACGCGAGGGAGGGGAGGGGGGATTGCTCCTCGCCGGACCTTGGACCTTACGTTATTTTCTTAATGCGGCCATTGACTTGTTCCAGATCCCCTCCCCTCCCACAAGGTTCATTGGGCCCAAGTAAAACAATCATTGAAAATCAAAATTAAGCGGTTACTCTTCACTTTAGTTGTCATCAAAGTTAGTCATCATGATCTTTTGTTTCATTTTCACATTCAGGTTCATAGGTAGCGGGGGGGGGGGGGGCAAGAGGGGCACGATGGTCGTTGGTTTCGTATTGCGTCCATTGGAAAGGGAGCCAAAGGCGCCCACTGGGTAAAGGGTGCCCGATTTGCTCCAAGGGAGGCAGCTGCCCCTCTTGCACCCCCCTCCATAGCTACGAGTCTGACATTTACACACAGATATGTACAAGACAACTCCGGGGAGGTTTCCCCATGTCAGTGGTACAGGATGGGAGGGCGCTATAAAGGGCGGTGCCCATTCGGTCAGATGGGAGGGAAAACAATAGTTTAAACAATATTTGATTCAACAAACTGAATTGGATTGAATAACACAAGTTATCTCAAAAGAGTGGGATGGGTAGATAGTAGTCTTGATCATACCCCATATATAAATAATTCTTACTGGTAGTATTGATCTGAAAACTGGTCAATTCTACCATCTATCATAAAAGCCTACATTATTTATTAGACAGTGAAAACTGTATAACGAACCTGTTTGGTATTTAGTTTTTCCTCGTTCAGGTTGTAGTAGAGGATTCTGCTGGAGAAGAGTTATATTTTGTTCACAATATTTTCTCAACTCATTGATTTCACGCTGGAGTCGTTTGATCACGCACGTTTTTCTAGTTTTACCAAATCTAGTTTTGGTCTTGCTAATGCGCCCCCCTCTGATACATGTATTTTTTTGTTTACCTGAAAAATAATAAAGGCTTATAATCTGTCTTATGTTCACCTGGAACAGTAAAGTTTAAAATAAAACTGAAGAAAAACAGACGGGTTGCAGAATCTAAAGATTGTAAAATTCGCTAAGATAAAGCCCCGCACCCCTCAATGGTTCCCAACACCCGCAAGGTATGTATCAATAAAACAAAAAAATAATAAAAATAAACATTAAATTTACTGGACAGCACATGGCGGGTATCGTCTTTCTTGGTGTGTAGAAAGGTTTACAAAGAAATATTGAATGATACTCGAGATCCGATCCGGAAATGACACTCTCCCCAAGATCAGACATAAAATAAAAGTCCTCACTTAAAAACGTGATTGGTGAGTTTCAATAATTCGTACAAAAATACTGAATAGTGTTCGAGTTGTTCTCTGGAAATAGGAACAGTATAGGCCAGGGGAATAACAATAAATCCATTAAATCCAGATCAAGTTACGCGAATCGACATTTTCCATTGTGACCACTCCTTTATGTTAAATCCAGATCAAGTTACGTTCGCCTGTGCGACCACGCCTTTATTTTAATCCCATGGTCGTTTAGATGGGTACTACAAATGATATCTTACCTAATGTATCTGCTATAGGTCCAAAACCCTTTTCTCTTAATGCCTCTAGGAATATCTGATAATAATCACCACATTCCGTCATTAAGATGTCCAATAGCTTTGCTACCCTAGGTCTACCGGTCTCTGTATTAAGTATACGGGTTTTTCTGTCGAGATCAAGAACACCTTTAGAGAATAAGTTGGTGATCAGGTCGTCGGGATTGAACACATTGTCGAGAAAGTACTCGTAATGGTGCTGCATTCTCTCAGAGTCTTTACGGGGCATTTTGAAATTACCGGAAAAAGACGCCATTGTTCTCGTTTTATTTGCTGAAAGATAAACAACGTCTATAATCACTAGTTGTAATCGAGATAAATTCTCCAAGATCTCATCGGGAATGAAATGAAACCGAGGCTCCTAATGCATGAATCCCTCAACAATTTGGTTTCAATTAACAATATACTACAGCTATTTCCAAAATATGGACGTAGTTGATTCCTTTATAAGTCTCTTCTACTCTTATTATATATAACCGAGTTGCTCATATAATTAGGCGTGGTCTCTACTTGTCAGTAGTGCAGGACAGTATGACAAGAGACAACGTATAGTCGTTCGGGTGGCACGAACAAAAGAGGTCCCGCGTGCACGTAAGAGAACCCTTTGCTATTAGAATCCGGTATAAGAGTAAGCCATAAATAACCGGGCAAAAAATTTCCATTGTAGCGGACTATCATTATAGTATAAACGGAGCAGAACAGTTGACGGTTTATTTCATTTCGCATACAGTTAAAGATTCGCCAACTAACTTAGTGTTCTCAGCGTAGCTAATTGTAGACAGCGTCAGTTTAGCAGTGCGCTACATCGATCAAGCTCTCAGACCGCACGTCATACCACATTTCGCGCGCCATTGAAACAACAATTTCCAGCATTACAACGCCCGTGCCCACACCGCCAGAGTTACTCGGGACTTTCTACGTACAGCAGAACGGTGTCAACGTTAAGTACTGGCCAGCCCTTAGTCCGGGCTTAAACCCGATTGAACATCTTTGGGATGAAATTCAGAGGAGACTTAATAACGTCGTACCGAGACCAAACACAGCCGATGGATTGCACCAGGCTTTTCGGAGAGAGAAATGGTGTTTAACGTCCACTCGACACAAACTAGGTCATTTCGGGACTAACATTCGGAAACCGGAGGACCCGGAGAAAACCCACGAGGTTGGACAGGCGACCCTTCTCCATGTCACGTACAACCGGGGATTCGAAACCACGCCAGTTGACTCAATGACAGGCCTGATGATTCAGCGCGCAGTGCGCACATGCTAACCATTCGGCCATCCCCCCCGCCCCGGCTTTTCGGAGAGTGTGGTACGACGTTGTCTTCAATCGTCTGGTCCACTCCATGAACAGACATTGCGCTGCTGTTATTGACACTCGCCGTGGACACACCAGATACTGATGTCTTGGAATTGTGATGAATTAATCACTAATGTGTCAACATACTGTTCACAAAAAATTGCTTTGATCCATTTAGTAAGTCGTTTTCTACAATGATTTGATTAAAGTGCCTCTCTGATTTTGAAATCGTACTGACGTGTTTTTTTTGGTTTTATTTTGCTGTTTAGTATACATTCATATTACATTATTATATGCAATGCGACCCATTTGTGTCGATTTCTAGGTCCCAAATATTAGCGATTTAGCTCCTTTAACTGTCGCTTAGATACTACATCCATATTAAAGGTAACCCCATTAAATTGCAAATCTAAAAATACAAGTACAACAATAAACTAGCATAGTAACGACCATAATAGTAGATACAGGTAGACTGCACTACACGCAAACCAAGTCCGTAAGACAAGCCTGTGGACAAACAATACACCAATAGAAAAATCAAATCACGTGAACGGATCCGGGGGCTAGCATAAAGCTGTCATGCCTATAAAAGGTTATAAATGCAGTTTTTATTTTTAATAGAGGTATTATAAAATCTGTTTTCATTACGGTTTTCTATTTTGGGTAATAACACAATGCAATTCAATGAATTCAATGTTAAGCTTAACAAATAACATAGAAATAATTGAATATTCTAGCCAGGGGTAATTGTATGAAACGTGAACTTGAAGACATTACTGGGTTGTGCACTTCAACGAAAGCGGTTTTATGTTATAAATAACAAAATCTCCAAAGAGCAGAACGGCTAAAAGATTATTTCATCGCGATCTTTAATTAATACATAACCATTGATTCATGTAAACTCCCCGGGTAATACATGTCTCGAGATACGGTTTGACAATGTACGAATTTTTCGTAGTCGTCATTGTTTGTATGTAGTGCTTCTGCATGACGATGAATGCACAAACCCTGGCTTCACCAGTCAACGGCTCAAATGGTGGCTTTGTAAATAAGCATAACCCATGCAACATACATGTATCAATGTTGGTTGTAATCTATTGAATGGGTTAGGAAAAGAAATCATTTATATGAGCAAACATACCAAATTTCGTTTAGATCCATCAAGCGCATGATAGAAGGAATCAAAAATATTGAAATTTGCTCATTCAGCCATTCGGAAGAAGTTGATCTTTAAACCTGACATTATTTTACATATTGACCACTGATAGACCTAGTGGCCCATCAGTCCACGCAAATCATCCAACACTGGTAGTTCAGGAATTTTAAGGACTATCCTGGAACACCATAGTTCCGTCAAGAAAACAAGTTACCTATGGTCTCTAGCGTATATCAATCATAATGACTTCGGCGAAATCATGAATGATATTGTCAAAATCATCTTGTTTACCACGTTAGTCGTCGGGATAGGGTGGGAGGGCGATAGCCATGAAGGTGGCTTATAACCGGGATATACGCCTCAATTCAACAAATCATAATCTGAATTTTCAAAATTACTTACAAAATTCAAAAACATATCCCTCGCAGAGTTTACTCCAGGTCCCCTTTCCACCCAGGTTCAACCAATTGAAAGTCCGATTGCATGTCTGTACAGTTTACATAAACTGGCCCCCTTGCGGTAAACCTGCTCAGTGACGTCATTTGAACAAATCTATATTAACAACACCAAGCGGTTGAAAATGACTAATGGAGGACAAAAAAAGTAATGACATAAGCCCGACGGACTTAAAATAAAGCTTTTGTCAAATAAACATGCCAATGAAATTTTTCAATTTTTTTTATCAATCATATCATGACCATTAGCATCAATTAGTGAATATACCATTTGAAAAAAACCCCCAATAAGACTGGCACCAACACCTTCAATGGCGAATCATGAGGAAAATGCTCATTTTTCGGAAACGGAATAAGTTAGAAGCTATTTTCGATATCAATTGTGTGATCGTATACATATACCCCATTTGTTGAAAGTAAAGATCGTGGCTCATTTGGAATTTCTACAAATTATTGGAGGGCTTAAAATACTGATTCTGTCATTTCGTACAAGCAAAATAACAATAAGAGTACTTCATACAAACGTGGGGATTCCTCGGCAATTGCTCAAGTTTGAAACTAATTGTCACACAGGTTCTGTTTGTGAACATTAATGCAATAAGTTTATAAAAGTTTATAAATTATATCGAACAACAATGATGCTTAAAGTAGTTTAACACTTTGAAATCAAAATGGTTGGAAAACGAGACTGAATTTTTTTTATCTGTGGCTTACCTGATGTAAAACATGTTCTTATGACAATCGCCACCAACAAAAAAACATTCCATTTTATTCACTAAACTAATTTATAAACGGGGCTTCCTAGTATTTTAAGAGGGAATCAAAAGTTGGCGATTCGTGTTTTAGCTTAAGATATGTGTAAATACAGTATAACGAGAACAGAATTTCCTGGTTGTACCCGTCCTTATAAAATTTGAAAGAAAAAACAAAAACAATGCCTACTTACTTGGATTTCAGGATCTCCTATGCCATTTCAAGTTATATTAGCTTTTATGTACACCAACAAAGTTATGGCATATTCGTGTGATCACCGCGTTCTTTAATTTCTTCTGTAAGAAACGAGATGACTCAAGTGGGTCGAGTATGAATATTAACTTTATTACAACGAAGGTGTCGCTATATGCGTTAGCAATGAATAAATAAAATAGGGCTTTTTGCAAAGCAGGTATTTATATCGTGTTATAGCTAAACGTGAATTGTGGCTGCACAATTGTAGGCCTACAACAGGATTTGCATAATACATGAATGGCGCAGAGCTGAAATGCCCGAAAATTCACGTTCACCTGCAACCGAATTCCCGATATTGTAGAAATGGGACATAAATGTAATGCCGAAAAAAATCTCGTTTCGAGGCTAGTAGCCCACGAGGACATATTTATAGGCGGGCGCAAGCGTGTTTCCTGCTACTCCTGCCCGTGAAAACTTTATCTTGATCAGGGGCGGATTGGAGCCGGGAACCGGTCCCGTGTCGGAGCGGCCCCTTTTAACTGACCGCGAAGCCCGGATGGGGGGTCCGGGGGCTCCACCCCGTGAAAATTTTGAAAAATGAACTCCAAATATGCGATTTGGTGGCATATCTGATTATAACCTCTGTCAAATAATATATCTCATGAATCGATTAATTTCGGCCAAAACCCCAACCTGCAAGTAATTTACAACCATTCGCTGGGGCCTTGACGGAGTGGGAGTGGACATGCATAGGAGTACGGGACACAATTCATTTTTTAATTTTGGGAAATGGAAGTCCATTATTCTCTTTTAAAGTAAAGAAGTTAAAAGATGCAGATGATCCCATCCCCTTATTCAAGATTTGGCAGAACAGGCGATTTGAAAAAAAACGACGACTGAACCAAACGTTTCTATAAACCATAGGATAATGATGACTGTAAATCCGTTCTAAACGAGCGAGATCGTATCTTTAGACAACTGAAAGAAATCCTACGTCAAGCAAAATGTCTTTGTGGCAAGAAAATGTCTCAAGAATGCCCGTACCACACCCACGTTGGTATCGGACAGTATTCGTAGGATAAAGGGTAAAACTAGTGCATTCTTAACCATACGTAATTAGATGTATTGCTAGTTATCTGCCTGATGATTTTAGTATTAACTTAACCATACATAATTAGATTTGTTACTAGTGAACCGCCTGATATTAATTATTAACCACACATTAGATTTGTTACTAGTGAACCGCCTGATATTAATTATTAACCACACATTAGATTTGTTACTAGTTAACTGCCTGATATTAATTATTAACCACACATTAGATTTGTTACTAGTGAACCGCCCGATATTAATTATTAACCACACATTAGATGTGTTACTAGTGAACCGCCCGATATTAATTATTAACCACACATTAGATTTGTTACTAGTGAACCGCCCGATATAAATTATTAACCACACATTAGATTTGTTACTAGTGAACCGCCCGATATTAATTATTAACCACACATTAGATTTGTTACTAGTGAACCGCCTGATATTAATTATTAACCACACATTAGATTTGTTACTAGTGAACCGCCTGAATTTTAATATCAGGCGGTTCACTAGTAACAAATCTAATTAAAATTATTAACCACACATTAGATTTGTTACTAGTTATCCGCCCGATATTAATTATTAACCACACATTAGATTTGTTACTAGGTATCCGCCTGATATTGATTATTAACCACACATTAGATTTGTTACTAGTTATCCGCCTGATATTAATTATGAATCATATATAAATAGATGTATTACTAGTTATCCACCTGAAATTAATTATTGAGTCTTTCTTATGGAAAGGTATCGCTGCCAATATTAAATGCTCTGCTAAAATGTTTTTCCATTGATTACGTGTAAAAGGTACAATGTACAAAGTCTTAATACCGGTAATGGAAAAGTCAAAATACCTCGAAGGGCGAAGTTAAATGTAAAAGCGTGAAGGACAAATGGGATGTGGCAGAGCGCGAATGTAAAAATGTATTGAGAAAAATGTAAAATGTAGACACGTCAAAAAACACTCTTTTCAAATAAAACATTTGTCATTTGGCACATTACAATTTGACGTTTTACGTTTAACTTTGGCCTTAGAGGTATTTTGACTTTATCATTACCAGTATTAGGACTTTGTACATGGTACTTTTTCATATAATCAATGGAAAAGACATTTTAGCAGAGCATTTAATATTGGCAGTGATAAACTTCCGTACTTTCTTGCATATCCTATTTTTTTTCATATGATTGGAGTTGTGGGTCTGGGGAAAAGAATTATTTCGGACATCTTCTTTTCGGTGAAGAGAATTCAAGAAGCGGTCCACTACAGAAAATAGTGGTATTATCGAAGGTGACGGCAATAGAAATTTGTAATTCGATTAGAATCTTTTCGATCTTACCATTCTTTAGAATGATTTGCAAGATATTTGATTACATATCTCAATATGATTACATGGGAATACAAGAGTAAAAAAAAAAAAAAAATGAGCTAGCCGTTTGAAACCCAGATCTATCCTCCAATACCAATCCAGACTTGTCAAGATCATATTCTTGATGGAAACGCGGGACAGACTTCGCACGCTCGCCATCTTTCCTGCAGTATTATTAGTTCTGGGATGAAATTTACCTTGGACGCTACCCTGCAGAAGGCATTGTGTCTTTACTCAAAGGAAACGGAATCAAATATGCCTACTTATAGACCTTGCGTCTCCTATCTATGCTTCATATTATTTGCCTCCTCTGGCAAGTTTATCAGGAGCGACTTGTCTGCGATATCACCCAAGGTGGAAGCTGACGTTAAGCCTTAAGACCGAACGCGCTAGCCGTTTGAAATCCGTCTATTGAGAAGTGGTAATTAGTGTTCTGAAACCTATAATCATGCGCTGCCCAATGTCCAACACCCGTCACTATTTGATGTAAGTTCGTTCTGTGTGTGATCATACTATTGTTCGTACTTGGTTTTATTTTATATATATATATATCAATAGTAACGGTTACCATGTAAATTGGGGGGTTGGATGGCTGAATGGTTAGCGTGCGCGCGCTGTATCATAAAGTCTGTCATTGAGTCGACTGGCGTGGTTTCGAATCCCCGGTTGTACGTGACAAGGAGTAGGGTCGCCTGTCCAACCTCGTTGGTTTTCTCCGGGGCATCCGGTTTCCTCCCACTGCTAAAGACCCCTACGCGCAAGCGAATTATGTAATTAAAATTAAACCATATGTTAGTCCCGAAATGACCTAGTTTGTGTCGAGTTGACGTTAAACCCCATTTCTCTCTCTCTCTACCATGTAAATTAACACATTTAAACCCTCCACCATACCATTTATAACATGTTTCTTTAGCATAGCAAATTTAAACTTTATGTGTTGACAATAATGTAATCATTACTCATTTCAAAATAAATATGTATGCGGATTTGTCACGCATGAATACAACCCCCAATAGCTGTTTATTTATTATTCACCTTCAAAGTTGACAAAAGCTTTTCAATATAGACTTGGGTTTTTCCTCAGTGAATACAATTTACTTCTACATGCATTAAGCAAACGGTTTCTTTGAATCGTAAAATCCCGGAGAATACACATTTTGTTGAACAGGCAAGGACAGGGCCTAGTCGTTCGGTGCAGAAATGTATAACGTCAAACTTCATTTCATTTATTCACAATCGAATACATCGGTTCAAAGGCTAGTAGTACCCGGTTGGTATTACACTCCATAAATATGTCCATAACAACATATATTTTTTTCAAATTACACCCTGCTTTCATGCAGGAATTCGAAACCTTATATGTTCTCAATGTTGTGAAAAATATTTTTTCAAACAAAATATTTCAGTGTATTTTTATGTGTGAATCCATCTCCGTTCATCAAAAAACGCGAGAAGAACGAGAAAGTTCCCTGGAATTTTCCAGTGTGGCTTCCCCTTGTCAGTGGCGTGCACGTAAAAGAGCCCTTGGCATGTGAAATTCAAAGTAAGAGAAGGGGGTACCGCCAGTATCGGGGAACAACTTCCTTCATGGCACACTGCGTGACGTACACCCGTCTTTATTATACGAGTCTGTGCAAAACAGTAGGACGCTAAACCCCATTTCATTTTATTTCTAACAAGAAATAATCGTTATTTTTACCATATTAAGATCAATGTTAAAATATTTTTTTATTGACGTAAAGACATTTAGAAATCAAGATGGGTATAATACAGTGGTTCTCAACCTCTTTTTGCTAACGGTACACCTTGGAACACATGAAAAAATAGCGGTACACCTAGCTAAATATACTCTTCAAAAAAAAAGTAGGGATATTCAGAAACAATACAAAACCACGGAAATGCACTGCTGTTTTTATTAGAGGTAACCAGTGTATGTTAAGAAAGGGCCAATAATGGACGTTTTTGATTTTTGTGTTAATAATAAGTAATTGCTCCACCAATCCTCAGATATTCAGCAAATCGTCGTGGCATGCTCCTAATCAACCGTCCAATCACGATTTGGGGCAATTTGACTCACTCCTCTTGCAGTGCCACGGCCAATTCTTGCAGTGTTGTCGGTTGACGTTGACGTCGACGAACACGTCTCTCGATCAAATTAAACGTAGCACACTAAAGCAAAGATACGCTAAACAGTAAATCTTATGCAAGAACCGATAGGAAAGCAAACATGGATAGGATAAACCAGCAAGCGACAGTTTTCATCAACCCTTCCTTGAAGTGTCACATTTGACAATGAACCCCTCCCACGTGTATGGCGCTATTGCGTGTCGCATGTGCAGCTTAGTGGTTCTGTTGGGATGATAAGTTCTTCATCTGTGAACATACTCTCAAAGCATGTCAAGTGTCCATGACTATTTATCATATCACAACCTGCATAGGTATTTGCATTTCAATATCCCCTACTTTTTTTGAAGAGTATATATATGAAAAATATTTAAATTTTGCAAAATAAAAACATAGCAAGTCAGACGGCAGACAACCGTAGATAGAGACTTATCATGGATCATAGACACATAAATAGAATGACTCAAACTAAATTAAGAAAAACACAGCTATGAACTTAGTGTGTTACG